AAGCGGCCATCTAGCTCAGAAGCAACAAAGCCCACATGGAAGAACATATCAGCCCGTGTGATCACGAGGTGTCGAACGGATTACTGAAGACAAATGGGAGCATAAGCAAATGTGGTGAAGAAAGCTGATGGTGCCCGGCTATCAAAAAGTATAGCATCTGGGGTCTTAAAGGCTTGAAGGTAATCAAGTGGCCATCAAGCTCAGAAGCAACAAAGCCCACATGGAAGAAGCACACCAACCTATGCAATCACGAGGTGTCGAAGGGATCAGGTATAAGGCATCATCAGAACAAAAAATCTTACCATAGTGAATGATGGGGGTAGTGCAGCGTGGAGACCCAAAGCCCATGAGTAGGCCACTGGAGATCCCCTTGCAGAGGGGTCTCGGGGAGGAGATGAGCCAGTCAGGGTGCGATGTAACAATGATGAAAAATACAACTTTCCTCTAGTTCCTAAATGTTTCCTCCCCGCTCCCACTATCATGACACAAATTCTACCTTGCAAGTCTGGCTAGACCAGAGGATGTACACTGGTACAGATAGGAACTGGAAATACAGGGAATCCAGGGCGGATGACCCCTACAGGACCAGTGGTGTGAGTGGCGATACTGGGAGGGTAGAGGGAGAGTGGGTAGGAAAGAGGGAACCGATTACAAGAACTATATGTGACCTCCTCCCTGGGGGACGGACAACCGAAAAGTGGGTAAAGGGAGACGTCGGACAGGGCAAGATGTGACAAAATAACAATTTATAAATTATCAAGGGCTCATAAGGGAGGGGGGAGCGGGGAGGGACAGGAAAAATGAGGACCTGGTGCCGGGGGCTTAAGTGGAGAGGAAATGTTTTGAGAATGATGAGGGCAATGAATGTACAAATGCGCTTTACACAATTAATGTGTGTATGGATTGTGATACGAGTTGTATGAGCCCCTAATAAAATGATTTAAAAAAAACCCCATGAATTGTCAAATATGTGTACATATGCACATAATGCATATCTTATATTTATATATTTATTAGTCGTGATAAATTAATAATGTATCAATTATAGTATAAATCTGTAATATGATAAACATTACTTATAAATAAATACATTATTTATAATATAATATATAAATACTATTTATTCTTGATATGTTTATTATTTATAAATATACTTTTATATATACGGTATTTTAGATATATGTATATCCGATGAGATACTCTGTGTGTGTGTGTGTGTGTGTGTGTGTGTGTGTGTGTATGTCCTAGTATCACATGGTAGTGGTGAAGTAGAAGAACATCTGGAAATCTGAATTTTAACCAAGTTTTTCAGGAGTTCCTTCTAATTTGTTCTGAGGACCCCAGGTGGAGACCTAAAGTTCAAACCGAGTTACTGAAATGCTACTGCCACCTAGCGGTATCATATGCCTATTACAAGTTCAATGTTACTCCTTTGCATGGTAAATCAATCAAAACTCCCTGACACTGAGTCAATTCTGACTCATGGAGACTCCATAGGTCAGAGTAGAACGGATCCTCTGTGTTTCTGAAACTTAGAGAGGTAGAAAGCCTCCTCTTTTTCTGGCGATTTCGCTGCTGGTTTTGACTGTTGGTCTTAGCAGCCCAACTCTTAACCACTATGCCATTGGGTCGAAACGACCAACCCCTCCATGGGAGAGAGATGTGGCCTTCCACTCCTGTAAGGAATTACAGTCTTGGACACCCTCGGGGAAGTTCTACCCTGTCCTATTTGTCCCTGTGAGTCAGAATTGACTCGAAGGCACGGTCACATCCGTGTAGCTAAATGTGTTACTGAAATTACCACACTCAGTCCTATTCCCTCGTACTCATAAAAGTATCTTCAATTGTCCTGGAATATCTGACATAGATATATGCTAGAAGTGAGGAGGACTTGAAGCACTTTCTGAGGAAGATGAAGGAAGGCAGCCATCAGGGTGGATTACAACTTAATGTAATGAAAATCAAAATCCCCACATCTGGACCAGTAAAAAATATCATGATGAACAGAGAAAAGATTGAAGTTGTCAGGGATTTTGTCTTGCTTGGATCCACAATCAATGTCCATGGAAGCAGCAGTCAAGGGATTGAAGTACACATGACATTGGGTAGATCTGATGCACAAGACCTCTTCAAAGTGTTGAAAACCAGGATGTTACTTGACTAAGATAACTAAGGACTAAGACGCAGCTGGCCCAAGTCACAGTGTTTCCAATTGCTTCATCTTCATGTAAATTGGGCACTGAATAAGGAAGACCAAGCAAGAATCGATGCATTTGAATGATAGCGCTGGCAAAGCTTATCGAAAGTACCATGGACTGCCAAAAGAACCAATAAATCTGTCTTGGACCAAGCACAGCCAGATGCTCCTTAGAGGCAAGGACGGTGAGACTTTGTCTCACATACTTTGGCCATGTTATCAGCAGAGATCAGGCCCTGGAGAAGGACTTCATGCTTGGGGAAGTAGGCGGGCAGTGAAAAGGGGAAGACCTCCCACAAGATGGATTGACACAGTGGGGACATAGATGGGCTCAAACGTAAGAACAATTTGCAGGATGGAATAAGGCTGGACCGTGTCTCTTTCTGTTGTCCATAGGGTGGCAATAAGTCGGAGCCAACTGGTTAGAACCTATGGACAACGACTTGATACAGGGTTTATATAACGTCTCCTGGAGGAAACTGCCTTCAATGAACAACCACTAAGTTTGAAAATGAACCCTATCTTTTGATACTTGCTAATTACACATTCTCCTGATGTGTAACCGACTTGTCAGAAACCAGTTGTGTAGGTGGAAAACAATCTGTAGGCAGTCTTTGTTAGAGAACCCGAAAAGCGAAAGGACTTTTTTTTTTGAGAATGATTTTTATTTTTAAAATTTTTTTTTAATTTTAATTTTTTAAACATTTTATTAGGGGCTCATACAACTGTTATCGCAATCCATACACACATCAATTGTGTAAAGCGCATTTGTACATCATTCTCAAAACATTTTATCTCC